AGATGGGTCTGGTCTCTCCTCTGGGAATCCAGTGGACAAAGACTGCCTGTGGTGCTTTGATGCTCTGATTATATTCATGCAGGAATACTTGGCTCCTCCCCCTGGGTGGCTCATCTCACAATGGGATGATGTCATTTTATCAGTCCTGCACTGAGACTCAATGGCCCATTAACAGAAGATATCCTCCTGGAGGAAGGATGGGTGGTGGAAGAGATAAAGAACATTGCCTCACCTGGTTTTAACAGCTGGCCCATTAACAGATGACATCCCCCAGTTATGAGGGATGGCTGATGAAAGAGATAAAGAAAACTGCTCCTCTAGTTTTAAACAGATGTTGACAGAATACATGCTTTTGGTTGAATCTTGCATTGCAACCCAGGACATGGGGTCCATAAAAATTTTACACCACCAAAATCCAGGAGTTCTAGTTCCATCTCTGTTCTCTCCCTTTTGGTGTTCAGGCCTTCACCCCTGTCCCAGCTGCTGGGGGTCACACTTGTACTGTGGGTCCCCTGTCTACTCGGTCCCTGACCTCTTCTGGCTGCTGGGAGTGCCAGGAATTTGAAAAGTTCTCCCATTTCCATCTCCCCACTTAGGGATGCAGGAAGTTTTTGGGGTCCCAGGGTCCCTGCTCCCCTTATTCCCTTCTTGGGGGGGCAGGGGGTCCAATGAATCCCCCCTGCCCCTCTCTATTTAATTGAGGGTCCCACGAATCATGGCGCTCCTCCTCTCTGGGCTCCCCACTTTGGGGTCCTCGGGGACACAGGGCTCTGCTCCTCCAGGCTGCCTCTGCCAGCAGCTGCCACTGGGAACCCTAAATGTCTCCCCAAAGGGCATTTTTTTCTCAGCTTTGGAGTTCTTTATTCTCCAATAATCACCCCCAAAAAACCCAACCCAGGAACCACCCAGGATACCTGGGCCGAGCTCCCACTCCCTGGTCACCTGTGGGACTGTGAGGATGGGGGGTGTTGATCCCATGGATGGGGGGGCTGTGAAGTCAGGGAGTGAATCCCAGTTCGACTGGGATATACTGGGCCTGAGATCATACTGGGATAACAAGCACCTAACTGGGATTACAAGGAGTGTCTGGGAATGTCTATGGACATGCTGAGAGCAGCTGGGATATACTGGGAGTGTCTGTGATCATAATGGGGATGACTGAAAACACACTGGGAACAATGGGAACCATGCTGGGGACAACTGGGAACAACTGGGAGTGGCTGGGTCTACACTGGGGGCAGCTCCAGCTGGGCATGACTGGGACGATGCAGGGAGCAGCTGGGATCATCTGGGGAGCAACTGGAACTATACTGGGGCCAACTGGGTGCAACTGGAATCACTCTGGGAGGAACAGGGAGCAACTGGAACCATCCTGAGGGTAACTGGCATCCTACTGGGATCACAGTGGGAGCAGTTGGGCCATGCTGGGCAAGACTGGGACCATACTGGCAGCAGCTGGGACTGCACTCAGCGTGACTGGGAGTGGCTGGGAGCAACTGGGATCAGGCTGGAAACACCTGAGGAGTGATTGAGAGCAACTGGGATAGACTGGGAGAGACTGAAACCACAGTGCAGGTAAATGGGAACAAGTGGAACCATGCTGGATAATCCTGGGAGCAGCTGTGCCCATGCTGGGGTCATACTGGGATCCTACTGGAACTAGCTGGGATCATACTGGGGGTGACTGCAAAGGTACTGGCTGGGACTGGAACCATACTGGAGGTGACTGGGAGCAACTGGGCCCATCCTGGGAGTGACAGGGAGTCACTCTGGCCATGACTGGAATCATACTGGGAGGGCCTGGGTGTGACTGTAACCATACTGGGGGTGGCTGGGTGCAACAGCTCATACTGGGGGTGACTGAGATTGTAGTGGGAGTGACTGGGATCATTCTGGAAGTGTTTTTCTGTAGATCTTCTGTCTTTCTGGTCTCTTTTTATTCTCCTTCCTATCCTATGTACCTGGAATATTTTTGGATATCTTAATGTTACCCAAAATCTTAAGGGTTAACACTTTTTAGGTTAAATGAGCTAAGTTGGCAAAGTTAAGGCTATGGTAAGAGTTCTTTGTGCAGTTGGATGTTGTATTAAACCCTTTGCCATAGTTCCTTGATTGTCTGTATTTCGTCAGTTAAATTTTGTGTCATTTTGACCTCTTAGCTCAGTTGGTCAGAGCATGGTGCCAGTATCACCGAGGTTGTGGGTTTGATCCTTGTGGGGCCATTATCTTAAGAGCTGGACTTGATGGTCCTTGTGGGTCCCTTCCTACCAAGAATATTCTTTGCATCTGTCCATGTTGAGAAGATCTGGTTGTTGTTTCTCCTGTGCACCAAACTCAAGCAGAGGAACCTTTGGTTACCACCAGCATAGAAGTGTTCTTGGGTGTTACAGCCCTGCAGGCTCACAGTGTCCTCTTGTTTCCATAAGGCCCCAGAGTGTCCCAATGGTCCCTTGGTTCCATGGGCCCAAGAGTGCCACAACGATCCCCTTGGTTCCACAACTTCCCATGGTGTCACACTGACCAATGTTTCCATAAGGATCTGGAGTGTCACACAGGTTTATGGCATTTGTCCTTGCTGCCCCTCACATCCCACTGCCCCACAAAGAGCCCCGAGCCACCCGTGAGGGACAGGCCCTGCTGGGCCAGGCCTGGGCTCAGGGCTTGCCCTTTCTGCTTCCTCCAACCCAGCCAGGGCTGGCTCAGCATTGCAGTTCCCTGCTCAGAGCCTTTGGCTCCCAGCAATCCTGGCCTCCAGGATCTGTTCTCACCAGTCCCTGGGGAGCCTTTGGCAGTCCCTGCCCTCAGCTGGGCTGATTGAAGCTCCAAGGGACTTGTAGTTTTGCTTCTGACTCCTTGAGCAGCTTCTTCAGCCTGAAGGAGGGACATAGGAGGATCAGGGAAAGGAGAAAGAACCACAAGGTCAAGCACTCCCTGAATTCACAGCTCCCCACCTGTGGGATCATCACCCCCCATCCCAGAAGTGCCCAGGGAGGGGGAGCTCAGCCCAGATATTCTGGGGTGTCCCTGGATTGGGTTTTTTTGGGGGGGATGTTTGAAGAATGAAGAACTCCAAAGCTGAGTGGAAATGGGGGAACTTTTTGGATTCCTGGCACTCCCAGGAGCCTGAAGAGGTCAGGGACTGAGTAGACAGGGGACCCCCAGTACAAGCATGAACCCCAGCAGCTGGGACAGGGAGGAACCCCTGAACATCAAAGGAGGGAGACCAGAGATGGGGAACACCTGGGTGGCATTTTCAGGGCTAAGTCCTGGTGTTTGGGAGGTTTTTATGGAGCCCATATCTTGGGTTGCAATGCAAGTTGTAACCAAAAGTATGTATTCTATCACCATCTGTTAAAACCAGGTAGAGCAGTTTTCTTTATCTCTTTCATCACCCATCCCTCTTAACTGGGGGATATCTTCTGTTAATGGGCCAGCTGTTAAAACCAGGTGGGGCAGTGTTCTTTATCTCTTCCACCACGCATCCTTCTTCCAGGGGGATATCTTCTGTTAATGGGCCATTGAGTCTCAGTGCAGGACTGATAAAATGACATCATCCCATTGTGAGATGCTCCACCCAGGGGGAGGAGCCAAGCATTCCTGACTGGATATAATCATGGAATCAGAACACCAGAAGCAGTCTTTGTCCAGTGGATTCCCAGAGGAGAAACCATACCCATCTGCAGCACCAGAACTTTTGAGGTTAGCTACAATCTTCTATGGGATCATTGCTTCAACAGAACCACATCTGTCACTCCAGGAGTACTGCAGCCACCATTTAATCAGACTGCTACCAGCACCCTGACCAACGGGGTGTAAGGTCCTGACTCTGTTGGTGCGTTGCTTTTTGTTCGTTTTGTTGGGGTTTTTTTGTACTGCTGCATTTTCATTTTCTTTTCTTTAGTAAAGAACTTATATTCCTTTTCCCATATTGTTACCTGAGACCACTTTGGTTTCAAGATTATAATAATTCGGAGGGGATGGGATACTTATATTTTTTATCCATTTCAGTGGTTATTTCTGCCTTCCTTAGCAAACTTATTTCAAACTAAGTCACGTCAGAGGCCCAGGTGACTTCTAGAGATGGGCTTGGGAAGAGGGACCATCAAACTCAATGTGC